ACAAAACAATAATACTTCAACTTTGGCTTTGACACCAGGAAAACTTCAAAAATGATCTTGCTTTAACTTGGTTGGAACTACGTCATCAGTTGCAGGTTAGAAATTGATTAAATGGTTCTTTAAACAGAGATGTACTGCATGTGATTATTGCTACATGCCTTCATTTTTTCCTCTTTAACACTATATGTAGGAAAATTGAGGTGTTCTCTCACATTGCTGTATTTCAGATTAGTGCATTTACTCAGATGTCATGTTTCCATCATTGCTGATTGGAGGCTGATAAAAACCTGTGTCTACTCCAGAGTCATTTGACCCAGGAATAAATGCTGTTGTATAAATTGCCATTGCAGATAAGCTGTTGTTGGAGTAGTTAGTAGTGGAGAAGGGGTTTTACATGACAGTCACAGTTACGGCCACAGCTGCTGCTTGATCTTGTGACTATAATTAGATGCATATATAAATGCAACTGCAGTTTTTCCTTTGACTTCAGGAAGATTGTCCATGCATTTCATTTATGTAAATACTGGACGAAATAGAAAATAAAATTGCTAAGCATCCTATTACTCATTTCAAGCTATTTTTTAACAGCAAATAACAAAAATGAAATGAAAAAGGGGTTCCATGTGAGCGGAGCAACATTTACTCTTAATTGTTCCACATTATTCTCACTATAATCTACAACACATTTAACAAAACAGAAAAAAGAGATGTGCTTGTTATGATGAATAAACTTACATATTTAAAAGGAATGTCATACTGTAATTTGTGCAATTACGCAATTCTCTGTTACCAGTCTTCCCAGTTCTAATTTAAAACAAAACTGCAATGAAAGTATCTGGTGGAAAATGTTCCACTTTCACATCCTGCATATCTGCACTCCCTGATGTGCACAAACATGTCCATGTGACATAAACAAAGAGATCTGTCTATTGTACTAGCAATCTTGGCTCTGGGATGGATAGGGCATTATGTGAAATTAGGGTTGTGTATTGTTCATCTGTTAAGTCCAAACAGTGCCAGCCTGTTCTTTTGTCTCACAGTTAAGGGCTTAACTTGTCATTCGGATGCGGAAACAATCACAAAAGTTTGAGCAGGATTTTGATTGTGCTGCACCTCTAATAGATCAGTCATTCAAGTTTTGCCTTTATGTGCGATTACCAGAAAAACAACGTATGCATTTTGATTATTATAGTTATATACACCCGACCAGCGGCAATTATATTCTAATTCATCAACCTTTCACTACAGGTGCCTCGAACAAAAAACATCCACGTGCTCCTGTTCTTCAGGCAGAAACACCTTGGTGATGAAAGAGATCAGAGGCGAAGGGCCAGACTGTATACAAAGATGACATGACACCTTCTGGAAAGTGAAGCTTAAGCATCTTGATCATTCCCTGGTCCGTCGTTTCATTAACTGCAAATCAAGTGCACTTCAGATGCTGCACAAATGCATGCCGGGCTAATGTCATGACAGCTTGTCCAACTGCAGTACAGGTCACAAATTCCACCTCCTCTATGTTAGTGAATCGGACACGAGCCAAACAAAAAGACAAAAAAGACGAAAAAGTTTTACGCTGACATAAGTCCTAATTTTCTTCTGGTTGATTGACAGCTGAGACTGACTCGCAATCGGTCAAGCACTTGCATGGACAGGACCTCGCTTCTGCAGCTACATCCATCAATTGCTAATGCACAGGCTCTGGATCCAAATGTGCAAGATGGTGGCGTTTGTAACCGCGGATGTTTTAGCTTAATTTCTGGACATTGTTTCGTCCATCTGTCAATCTCAGATAACCACTCTTAACAGTTGTGATGAGCAGAAAAGCATCTCAGTACACAACACATCAAACATTGAAGCCTTACAAACAAAAATAGAGGCCTACATTTTAAAGACAGCCTCTACTTTTAGATTTTGTGGTGCATTATTAACAATAATCCTGTCTCGATACTTCTGTCTCTTCAGTGCCATGCCAATGAAGCCCCCTGTCGAAACTGGGAACAGTGCAATTATCTGGCTACAAAGGGCCACATAGGGCTGGACATAGGCCTGGCAGATTACTGGCAGACACCTCATTACTGCAGCCGACTCCAACAATGGGCCTGAGTATTGCTTCTTCTACATCTATCTGTCAAGTGTGCTATTAGCCTGTCAAATGGGGATAGTCAGCACCATTAGGCCACCCTGATAATCAGGCCTATTTACTCCCTCATTTTACTCTCCTTCACTGTCATAGTCACGCACTCTGGTCAAAAACAGGCACCTGCTTTCTCTTTCTCATCCCGTACCTGCTCTCATTTCTCCCCTTTCACTCATTCTCAGACAAAGACAAGTTCAGACAGTCATCACATCCCTCTCAGAGAATCAAAAATGTATCTCATCCACCAACTACACCAAATTTAATTTCAAAAATGTTCTCACGTACAAAAGAGATCGGAATGAAGCAATTTCTGTTTCAACGATCTTGGAGATAAAAGCAAAGAAAGTCAGTTCTGTGGAGTGGGAATATACATCAGTAACCCATTTATCTCAAGTCAATTTATTTGACATTAGATATTTCATCATTCGATCAAAAGTATTTGCCAACACAAGTTCTCACTGTAAGTGTCAGAAACCCACGACGCAGAAAATCATGGCGCATGGCCCGAGCTGACAACCTGGTGTTTTTTTCCTCATGGGAACCTCACCAGAATGAACTCAACCGACAATCTCTTGTCTTTCACCACAGTGTAACTCCACTTGAAGCCTGTTATTAGGTCCCAAAAGCTCACAATGCCATTTTCACAGCCCACCTCATCCACAGTAACACAGAAAAATGAAGAGAGCCTCATTTAAATTTTTCACTTGGTCAATACTTGTCCCTTGATAGGTGCTTCTGTGCACAAGTCCAAGACCTGCGAGAGCATGAAAAACGCTGCTGCAAAGAGGACCGGCAAAGACAATATCCTCGACCTGTCATTTCCATTGGCTGGGCTCAAATCCCATCACAGGCTCAGTTAGAGGATGAGCAGACACAAGCACACACGCCAGAGACAGACAGGGAGAAAGAGAGAGAAAGAAAAAAGAGGATGAAGGTCATTTTCATTGACTGCATGAGCTCAGATCCATCACAGGCAAAAAACAAGAGAATGCACACACACGCAGCACACAAACACAATCATGCAGAGATAGACAAGGAGACAGAGGACAGAGAATGAGAGAGTAGGAGTGAAGAATATTTCAACTTGGCCTGAAAACAGCAGCTGTTAGTGCATCTATCTTGGGCTGGGTCTCCTCCAGTCTGACATTAAATTAATGAACAGTGAATAGTGTTGAACTTGGATAGCTGTTAGACAGCGCTAAAGCTAAAACCCGTAGATCAACATGTCTACGTCTGTTCTCTGTGGACAGTATAAAACAGAGATGGTGAGTTTTGGAAAAATACACTATAATGCTCGGTGTAACTCCAGTATGAGACAAGGAAAGATTAAATACAATTAAAGCGAAGCTACGTCACTTTTTCCGGCCTCTGCAGCCACAAGTGGTAATGAATTCATTCGGGCAGTCCAAGCGGTTAAGTGGTTTTCATGTACAGAAAACAAAGCAAATCAATCGCTTAAGCAGCGCTCCAACTGTGTAGTCCCCCTGGCTGAATTAAAAACACAGCTAAGTATATCCCTCATGAACCCCGGCTTTTCCAAACACAACATAACAACAAACACTTTCCGTTTCTTAAACTTGCTGGGCCGGATTCCCGTACTTTTATTCGAAAAAAGATTACTTGTACTCGCTCACCAAGGGTACATTTGGGGCGTGGAGTGGGACTGACAGAGGCACAATTCTCCCTGTTATGAGTTAGTTTACCATCAAAAATGATTTTGAAGCTTTAAAAAAAAGGAAAACATATTGCATATTGTTGCTATGAATCTTTTATATCTCTTTTTGTTCTACCAAAGAGGAGTGTGTCAGTAGCCATGAGGTAGCCTGAGGTAGTTTGACTGGGATGAATGTTTTCAAAATCTGTTAAAAAACATCTGTTTGAACAGCTAGTTAGGTAACATATCAAATTCTGTTATGTCGGCTCCCCCTTTAAGATTTTATTCGGATCTTTTACTTTATTTGGCATTATTTATATTTATGTATCTTTGTTTTATTTATTTGTCTTCCTAACATTTGCTTTTATGTCTTTGTCTATGAAACGACTAGCATCTGTGAAAGGTGGTATTTAAACAAACTTTGATTTTGTTGGCCTCCTATGAATCTGAGGATTTAAAGGCAGGTTTTGAGTGAGATGCTGCCTTTCATGAGGTGAGAAGCACTGACTTGCCATGCGGCATAGCTCAAAGAACAAAGTCTTGTTAAACAAACACCACATTAAAAAACAAAGACGTGTAGACTGAGAACCTCTGGATGTGAACCTTAAAAAGAAAACAGGTTTCATAAATTACTCATGATGTTTGTTGAGGGATGATTACCTTCACCAATGTTAAAAGACATGAATCTGTGGAATGCCCATAGAGACTTCCAAAATGGGGGCATTCCAATCACATGATTTGTAAATAAACTACAAAGAAAGGAGAGATGGTACAGTATGCTTCTTGTCCTGCTGCAAAAATGAAGCATCCTGCATGTTGGTACTGAGTTTGAACTCCTCCATCGTGTTTTAAAAAACAAAAGTCATTCCTCACTTGAAAGAGAACATGTTTGTATATGTAGAATTCCACTATACCATCTGGCCTTGCACTGCAAATGCTAAGTCTTAGCAGCAATCAGCTATGCCATAATGTAAAACATTCAAATAATGGTCTTTTGAATTGAAATTATACACATTTATACAATAATAGTAGGATTTGCTCTTTCAGAAATATATAAAGAAATAAGATGAAGGGAGATTGGAACTAGCTGGCTTACAGAGGAAAGATCTATGGTGAGTTACATGATGATGATCATCACACTGCAAATGGATCAGTGTAGACGTCATCATCATTATCACATCACACCATGCTGCATCAGCCACTTACCAGCCTGATTGGTGGTGATGTCTATGGAGACATGCTGTGCGGGATACGGGCTCTTATTACTAACTCCGTTGACAGCCTGTATCTCAAAGCTGTAGAGTGTGTGAGCCCACAGGTTGCTTATGAACACCCTGGTCTCGGTCAGACCCAGCTGCCGTGGGACAAAGTCCACGTTGTCGTCGCAGTGGGAGCAGGAGCGCCGGTCGGCCCGGCACTTCTTGCACACTATGTTGTAGACGACGTCGCCGCGGCCGCCCGTCTCCCTGGGGCTATGCCACTCTAGGATCACAGAGGTTTCATTCACAATGGAGATCACATTCCTCGGGCTGGATGGGACACCTGTAAATGTACAAGAAAAGACTTGACGAGAACCGTTCTTCAAATTAGCTTCACACCAGATCATTACCTTTTCAGTAAAATGTCTACAGAATAAAAGCATGGCCTTCAATCTATTGCGGCAATACTTGGTATCAAGAGGAATTACACAGCTTTTATTCAGAAAAGTTGTGAACTTGGGGTGTGAAGACCTTTGAAAACGACGTTTACAACAGGTACTTCACTAGTTTAGTCAACTTACAACCTGTAATAAATGTAAGCGTTGTTGTCCAAGAGCGAGTTTGACATTTTTTCCTCCATCCTCAGCAGAATTTGAATGCTAATTTATTCCATTCATCCCCACAGAGATCATACAGCGAAACGTCTGTGTCTATCAAACATTGGCTTTTTAGCAAAATGCAGTGTTGCTCGGAGAGTTCTTATCCGAGTGGCTCTGGAGATTCACGCTCCCATTCATTCCCTCATAGCCTGCAGCTGGAGCAGAAACTCAAAGGCAATCTTCACAGAGAAATGAAGAAATGACAAAACTATTGTTTTGCTCGAGTGGAGGCAAAATGTTGGGCGGCAGAGAAAGTGGCGTGTTAAAATCTCGGTGTAGAAATTTGCTTAGGTGAGACTCTGTGTCCCTCCGCAGCTCCTTCTTCTCAAATACCAGAGACTGCAGATAAAGCAGAAACTTGCCAAAGCCCTTAGTCAGTGCTGCTTAGGTTGAGTGAAGCTGCCCTGCAGAGCTGATCTGGTACCAATTTATGCTCCATAAAGCCTGACCTTTATCATTAAAAGAGAATTTGAACTGACTCATTTCTAGATCCATGACTGCTTCGAAACTAAAAAAAATATTCAGCTCTGCAGACCCTTTGAGGGATTACTCAGCTCTCTTACATACTGCGCTTACTTTCCTCCTTTCCTTTCTTTCGAACCATGAGAAAAATATGACAAGCGAGGAATACGTATAGATATTTAAGCATATTATGATGCAGCATTCGAGTTTCCCTATTTATATCTTGTATAGTCCAGATAGCTATTCCCGTCAACACAGGCACAATTAATCATTGTTGCTGCGATGCTATGTAGGATAGCCCTGGGGAGCTGGGACAAACAGCAGAGCACACATGGGTGAGGGAACGGCGCTGTTACTGCTGCGACCTCAGCTCTGCACCTCAACAGCGCAGGGGTCAGTGACAGGAAGGGCGTGACCTCGGTAGTGTGATTATTATGATCTGGCTGTGAGGACAGGCAGTGCTGCAAATACATGGTCGACTGGTGTGTAATTAATTAATTTGATCATTTACATTAATGCATATTTGCAGACAGAATTTGGTCCAGCAAAAACTTGGACATGAGGGAATCTGCAGCACTCTAGACTTTTCCCTTGGGAAAAGCACAATAAGCACCTCATATGTTATGTATACCAGTTGTGTCCAGTGTATCATTAATCACCTGCATGCACTTGTCCCCAAACTGAAAAGCAGTGCACATATACTCATGTGGAAAATACATGTGGCACAAACTTGCATGCCTGAACATCTACGTCCGTGTATCTGCGTCTGCACTGTCTATATTAATGTATTTGTACAACGGTGGGGTAGAAAGAAAAAAAAAGTCCTGGTTGAGGTGTGAAAGGAGCGTCATCCCAATTACATCCAGGCTACATGTGTGCAGGGACAGCCTGAGAAATCAAATGTGACTGCCACTTAACCAGTGATTTGCAGACTATTACTGCAGCCTGTGGCTGTTGTAATTTGCCATAGAATTTAATTTGTTGAGAACATTACTTACAGGCTCTCAGCTTGCGGTCATTTAGCAATGCCAATCAGATTTGGTTGTGCTTACATACAGTACATTTTCTTTCACTTAGGTTAAAGGGTGAATCAGCCCCTGTACCCTCTCTGACATGTATAACAACACACTAAGGGCTCTATTTTAATGGTGCAATGGATTTTCTGATTGATTTTATTTGATTCACACTATAATTCATCAGGGTATCACAATTAATTCAGTGCTCAGGTTTAGGGAGGAAAAGGGAGTGACATGTATGCGCTACTTATATCCCATTTTTCAGTTATATATCATAAAGATAAGAAATTATACAATGTTTATACTATTAAAAACTACAAAAATTCAAGTGCTGGTCTTGAATTAGAATTTTTTAGCCATTGGTAAGACAATCTTTCACAACAACCACTTTAAGTGCCATGTCAGTGAGGACATCAAATGTCTTCAGTATGGGCAAGTGCATCGTGCAAAAATAAACCTCTGTTCCAAGTGAATCACAAAATGTTTAGACTGAACTGCTGTAATTCCTTTTTATCAGAATGTCAGAGTCATTCTTGGAAAGCCTCCAGCTGATCAGTAATTCTATAAGAAAAAGAAACTTGAAAAAGAGTTCACTGTGTATTACTACCATATCCTCCTCTGCATTGGCTCTGTGTCGAAGCAGAGGATTCAAAATGTTTTTCCTTACATATAAAGCCAGTAATGACCAAGTGTCTGGAAGAAGGAAATCAATATTGTTGTGCAGGGAGCACAGAACAGCGAGGCACAAATACACAGAAGGCAAACATGCAGACAGAGGAATTGACTCTGGAAGTAGAACTTGTGGAAATAGTCCAGGTCATGTGGTCTTGTTTTACAAGTGTGGTAATGCACATTTAATACATTGCAACACGTATTCATTATTAACATCAACTATTTTGCATACAACGTGCATGGGCATGTGTATCTCTTCATGTATGTGTTTGTGTATGCATTTTTATGTATGGCTTTGTGTGTTTGTATGTGTGTTTAAGTACGTGTATGTGCATTTGAGTGTGTGTGAGTGTGTATATTAGTATCAGCATGTGCATGTGTATGTTTTTTGTATATGTGCATGTGTTTGTTTGTATGCATGTGTATGTGTTTTATATGCATGTGCATGTATGTTTGAATGTGTGTGTGCATGTGTATGGGTATGTGCATGTATCTTTAACTCTTCCTGACAAGTAAAAATTACAGTTTGCTAAACACATAATAATTATCTCCAGAACTAAGATAAACAGAACCATGACACTCTCCATGTCTTTCATGCACATACTGTGTGTTCCAAAATTTGAGACCCCGTTCCACTTCACTTGAATAGGAAAGTGTTCAGACTTGTACATGTATGGTGAGATAATCAAAGAGACTCTCTACTGCTATTGCTGTGGATATACACACTAGTATGTGTAGATGTGATGGTACAGAGAGGGCTTTACGGTGCCATCTTGGTTGTAAAACACCACCGTGCAGTTTTCTCCCTGGGTTGCTAGTATTAAGAGTGCCCCAGTGCCCCAAAATAAACACTTCTGCACACAGTTTACTCATCCCCCCTTTGCACGGGCTGAAGCCAACACTTCTCCTCTTTCAAAATGTTTGTTTTTATGATGTGAAACGGGCCTTGAGGGACCAACAGAAGGTCCCTGAGTGGAGATACTGATCACAGCCAGAGGAGCTGGTAGAAGGGAAAGAAAGAAGGGTTGTGAGGGCTGGTGTGACATGAAATGTTACAAGGACTAATACTGTCTGGCTAGGAGACTGAGGGAGTCATAGATTGATACTGTGAATGGGTGTCTGCAGTGCAGCTTGGGAGATGCATCCACAATGACTTGTTTGAAAGGATGTGGAAGCTCTTCTTGAACGGACTAAAGAATAATAATTCCCACATTATTCAACTATTATATCCAAACATGACTCTGCATTTATTAAGCTTGAGATGTGGCATAGACCAGAGTCACTTATAGCATGTGTGCACGCATGTATGCAGGAGAACATTATGTCCTCCTAGCCAGTGCAGCGATTGGAGTTGTTCCATTTACTACTGAGAGGAAACTGGCTGCCGAGCTCTGGGAAGCACCCCTCAGACTGACTCCCCAACAGAGTTGAAGTAGGAAAAAAAAAAAATCACAAGAGAGAGAAGAACAGAATATTTATGCACTTTGATGCCTCACTCCTCTTTCCCTTTGAAAACAGAACAAGGAGAAATGGGAGGCAGTGCATAGGCAAGCAAAAAGGAAAGGAAAAAATAAATAAATGGGATGATGAGGCGAATGGAAAAATAGATAACCCCTGTCTTGATGGGCTTTGTTTGTGTTATGAAGCAAAGTGTCTGACACAGCTCAAGGAGGTTTTCAGGAGGCAACATTGATTATTGAGTGTGAGCCACAAAATTCACAAGCCAACATGGTACAAATCTGGAATGTCAGAACCATCCGATTTCCTTCTCATCCCATATTTATATTGATTCAGTTACATTCCAAAGATTTTCCTCATGAACTGGTTGGAACTGGCAACGTGCATCATTTACAACATTGTGTTGTGCCTTTCTCTGCAATCCCTGTTTCCTTTTGAGACAAAAATATCAAATGTACAGTTACTTGCCCTCCTATTGTCCAAATGGGATTTTTTTAACACATTTCTGATGTTAGTCCTTCTTTCCCATCACTCCCTTCCTTTATCCACTGTTCCTCTCACCAGGGAGCTCCATCGCTAGATCCCTTCTTCCCTACAGAGCAATCAGTGCTGGTTTCACTGCCCGACTCCCCTCGGTCTCTATTGAACTTGTCATTCGCCTCCTCTGACTCAAACACTGAGCGAAAACTACTGGCCCAGCATGTCGGAGCTGGCAGACTACCCCCTCCCCGCAGCACCGTTCTCACATGTAAGCATTCATTCTTTTTCACATATGCGCACCCTTTTGAGATTTGGAAGTTTGTCAGACTGGAGGCTGGAGGCTGGAGCCTGGAGATGGGACCACGAGGGGATGCGGTGCAACGCAAAGCCACTGTCCCAGAGCCCACTATGCTGGGCAGAGGAGTGGACTTCACGCTGAGAGACAGAACACTTGGTGTTCCTCCCCTCAGGCATGAGCTGGAATCAGCACAAGTCCAAGGATTGGGATAAATGAGGGGCCCCAAGGTGGAAGGGTGGTTTGAAGTACATCCTTGGCATATCCCAGAGGGAAAGGGGTGGGGGGTTTCTATAGTGTGAAGCCCCCTGCTGACACAGCCAGCCGCTGGACAATCCATCAGCAAGCTAATCAGACTGATCTGGAGCAGAGAGAGCCCAGCGCCTCGGAAGCTGTCGTGAAGAGTTCAAGCCACAGCTTCTGCTGCTGCAGATTGGCCTGATTTGAGCTACTCGTGCACTGCTCTTATCAGGACCTGCAGTATTAAAGAGATTCTTTCAAGGATGATCTCACTGCCCCCTCCTGCTGAGATCTAGGACACCCTGAGCATCGAGCTCAGTCGTCACTATATACTAGAACCTTCGGAGAGGAGGCTTTGAATTTGCTGTTGCTAATTAATTGTGAATTCATACCGAGGACAGACTGAAATTGGTTTAAGAAGTTAATATTAAAAGGGGCAGAGGAAAACAACATTCTCAGTAGGATATTTTGAATCAAGCTGTGTATAAAAAGTATTTTCAAAGAAGTGGGATACAGTTTCTTGTAATGAATATTTCATTTTGTTGTGCACTGCATAATTGTGATTGTAATAGTGAGACATTTTTATTTTCTTCTCTCTTTTACTTGTGATCTTTAACGTAACTAAGCATTAAGAATAGATTATCATGCAAAAACCTAAAGAAATAAACAGTTTAGCCTAAATGTTAAGATATACAGATGAGTGGAGGGATACATAAGATGAGAGAAGAAACTGGGTGTGATGCACATTGGGAACAAGAACAGAGCAGAGAAGATGAGACTAGAGAAGAAGAGGCATACATTGATTGAAGACAGAAGAAAAGTAACATGGGCTACATTTGGAAACTGAACAAAGACCAGAGGGATCTGTTAAAAAAGCTCCACTAGGGAGGTGTTGTGGGGATTGCTTGGGGAAATTTTGAGGCCTCAAGGTACAGGCAGATGATAAACTTGATTGAGTGTGGAGAAAACCCAAGGTGAAAGTGGGGTGTCATCCACTGAGGATGTCCACAGCCTGAAGGTGCGATGGCTGCACTTGGAAAGCGTTCAAACGGTCAGACGTTTAGCCACGCTGCATTCAGGTTCCTCTGCAGCTTTGAGGCACTCAAAGGCGCAAGGTTTTAAGCTTATTCCTGAGGCCAATTAGTCTAGTAAATGGAGGCTGAATGCAGACATAACCATGGCAATAATGCTTCGGGGTCTGGGGTTGTGAGGGGAACAAACCATTAAGACACTCCCCTGTGACGGTGAAGGAAGATAGATAAACAAACGTTCTGATGGCGCTCTCCTTCTGTGGAACTGGGTGTCAGCGGGGATGACAGGAAGGCTTAGCTTATTGCTTTTACATCATATTAAGAAAACTATGACGCTGCAAGAGGCCTTATTGGATCTCCAGTGGATAACGGCAGGGCAGTGTGGAAGCCTTGCAGCATCTGCCTAAGTAATTAGGACTTCAGGGGATGATAGCTGACATAAAGAAAAACAGTGTAGAAAGAGGGAGAGGTTGATGACTTGGTGGGGCAGAAAGTAAGCTCATTGGCTCAGGAATGGAGATGACATTGTTGGGAACACTGCGATGTAATAATCATGACCAGGCCAAAGAGATGACAAGATGCTACTGCATTTAAATGACCCTATGAAAGAGCCACAGTAGATCTCTACTAGACTTAGTCATGGACATATAGTGGATTATATGCATGAGCATTACATATTAATATTGATTTCAAATATACATTTCAACTAAAACGGATAATGAACACATGGTTATGACTGTTGCGTGTGCTTGTACTTCAGAAATGTAAGCATGTGACTGTTAATGTCTGTGTGGGATGTCATATGCAATATACTCACTTGTGCAGGGTTCATTCGGCTGGTCGGCGTCCCCGCGGTAGTAGCCGTTGCGGCACACACAGATGGTGGCAGCCTCAGCTGATGAGCGGCTGTTAGAGGGACACTGTAGACACAGACCAGGACCCTGGGCTGACTTGAAGGTACCCGGCGGGCAGGCTGTGAGAACAGGAAATCAATGTCAGGAAAAGAGTAAAAAAAAAAAGAAAAGAAGATCTTGAGCTAAGGACCTAGATTAATGTCTGCTAGAATTCTGAGAGGCGACTGGAAGACGGACAATAGTTTGACAAAAAAGAAAGAAAATTATGAAAAAAATGAGAACAATAGAATGTAAGTTCTAGTCAAAGGCTGAAGCAAAGAGAAATGTTTCAAGTTTCTTTTAAAGACATTCACTGAACTAGCAGCAAAAAATAAGTGCTTTACACTTAGAAGATCCCAAGAAAGACATCAGCTTGGAAAGACAATGAGATCTGAGAGCCTTTGTGATAAGGGTCAATTGTGGTGTCAATGTGGCGTAAACAAAAACTTCTGATTTCCGCAGCAGATTTAGATGTTATATCCTGTCTCCTGCACATTCTAACCATATGCCACCTCTCACCAAGTCCAGAAAATGTCCAGACCCAATTGTTTGCACATTCTTAGGAGTTTGTGTCTAAAACAGCTTTTATTGCTTTCCCAGGATGCACAGAACATATACGCCTGAGTAGCGGTAGTTCCCACTGTGTTCAGGTTAGTCTATGGTTCAGGTACATATTTTAACAGAAGACTTGAAGCAGCATGAAGCAACACATCATTCTGTCATTGCCAGCACTTTGTGGAGATTTGTGTAATGTGTCTAACTTTTAAAGGCTGTGGTGGAGGACAAATATCATTGTGGCTGATATCACTGCATCTACATCCAGACAACCAAATCCATTTACCCTCATATCCACAAAGTATACAAAGCTGAGAGATTTTTTTGCACTTGTGTGGAAGGATTTACCGACTATAATAACAGTGATAAATGCTTGCTAAAATATTTCAACAGCCTCACTGATGGGGGAAGAAACTGTGGTGTTGCTGCATGAGACAGAGGAAGAGGGGTCATAAATTTAATGGGACATCATACAGTTGCTCCAGCTGTGCCTGTTTGCCTGAGTAAAGGATTGTAAAGGTTTGACTGTGGCTGAAAAATGGGGATGTGGGGTATATACACCTCCCTCACAGACTTAACTGTGACAGTATTATTTCAATCAAAGGTTTTAGAGACGGTCCGTAGACAGACTCAATCAGCAGAAAACAATGATGATTCACTGGAAGTGTTTGAAATGCAAGAAGCAAAACTGATTCAATCAGTATTAAATTTGCCTACTGCAAAATGGTTGTGTTGTATCTGACTAAGAGCCCTGATCTCCAATATTTATGGAGAGCTCCGTAAATGGAGGACTATTTAAAACAATAATGACCAAAGAGTCTCATTGCTCCTCGCTGCCAGGTCAAACAGCTCAGAATGTAGCACACTGACTATTTGTGAAAAACCTATAGACCTCTGTAGCAATTAAAAAAATGATGCTTCATTAAAAAAAATACACAGAGATGCTGAGTTTGGAAGCCAGAGTCTCTTTTACTGAGCTGTAAAAAAAACAAAGGCAGGTTCATGTTTTTATGACCATACCTATACCGTTCAGGCAGCCTCTCAGGATGGCAGTTTGTGAGGGAGAGATAGATCAAGAAAAAGCAAAGGAAGACATCAGGTGAAGGAGAAAGAGGAGGCATCACACACACACACACACACACACAACCAACCCGCTGCTCCCAACAGAGTCTGCTCTCCCATCTCCATCCACGTGGCCAACAGACACACCAGAGGCTAACTGACTGACCTCACGTCTAGTCACACTGCACTGTTCACACATGGCAAGACATACAACCAAAAACACAGCCGCACCATAACAGCTATAAAACAGCTTATAAGACGACTGCATGATCTGTGAGGCGGGATCGCAGCCGTAGTGCACTGGGATATACCTGTGAGCCAAACACATTGCTATGCTGCAGATGCTCCAGAGCTGTGCTGAAACTACAGATGCCTGTATGGAAGAACATAAAAGAGTTCTAGAGATTTTGTAGGAGAGGACGGTGAAGGTAATAATGTTGCTATAGGGCAGAGTGTGTGTGAGGGAGCAGAATTCTGCCACCTCTCCTGACTTGTAATACGCAGGTTTCATGTGTGAAAAGATCAAACTCCTTTTAATACAAGAACATTGAGACTCTTAAAACTTCTCCCCGGCCATATGGGGGAGCACGAACCAGCTGCAGAGCCATTTTATAAAGCAATAACTTCCAAAGATATCAGAGATTACAAGACAATAAAACGCAGATCTGAAATTCATTTTCGGCTGGAGAGGGGAAGAGAACTTATGTGTCATCATCTCTTCTGCGTAAAACTCTTAACATCAGCGTGCGCACGTGGCCATCTCACTCAATCACTCATAGCCCTTCCTCTTAAGGTAAGGGATCCCAATAAGTTGTTCAGTGTGTGTTTAATGGGGTGTGAGCTGAATGTGTGCAGTGGGTTCTGCCCTCAGGTTGTGTGTTTACAGACGGTAACAGGCCTGGACACTCATATGCGAATTGAGGAGGAGAGACACGGAGGCTGTGCTGACTCAGCTCGGCTGACGTACTGCTGCAGACGGGCCTCGAGGCAAACTTATGAACAGAACAATGCATATCACACACTCGCTCACACAAATATACCCAGTCTGCAATGCTGAGGAATGCTCTTGTGTTGGCATGAGCGCTATCCCCACCTCTGGAATACATTTACTGAACTGATTTACACAGAGACACATGTAACCACTGCTGACCCCATTAAAGGAGATGGGGCTCCCATATTTTCTGCCACTTGACTAGCGTATGTTCTGAAGGCGAGATAATTTACGGCCTCTCCTTGGACAACTGAAGATGCTACGATCAGCATTATGGGAGGGGGAGATAAGTGACAGTCAGGCAAAAACAAACAGGCGGCAACTCACACGCACATAAACCCTTCACACATGGCACAGGATGAATCTGTCTAGATTGCACTGCCTACCTTGGTGTTGTTTTTCTAATGGACACATTATGTGTGGATGAATCCTAGCATTAAACTCATTAATTAGCTGCTCACTGTTTTGCCTCACAGAGCAAGTGCTAGGCAGGAGGACACAGATCTAGCGAAGTGAGGGCAAGCGAATTAGAAAGCAATGCGAACAATGTTTGCCATCCCTCAGAGGTCTCGTTCTAAGAGCCGGCAGAAGTGGGCCGAGCAGCGTTATGCCCCATTGAATTTGGAACTGAGCCCAAAGTCTTTCCTCCTGATTTGTGAATATTTAGATTGGAGGAGGCCAAGAGTTCCTGTCCCACAGAGAGGGGGGGGGGGGCACGTACACCCATCACTCATCAAATGTGTTGGTTTTCAGGGGCGGGAGGGGAGAGAAAATTAGATCAACAAGCAATTAGTCTCCCCCCAGTGGGAGAATAACCCACAACTGAACAGGCTGCATGCAGAAACAAAACATTCCAGCCTCTCAAGTGGTCTCCGCTGGTTTCTCTCTGTGCATTGTTCTCCCTTTTCCTCACCCCTTCTCAGCACTCATATCTTTTTTTGGTTTGTCCCACTGGCAGTAAATTCCTCTCCCTTCCTCTCCCACCTTTCCTCCCCCCCTTGTTGCGTTCCTGCCTTGACTGATGTGTTTGAATCCTTGTTAAGGTTGCCTGTCCGTCTCTCTCCTTCCCTCTGTATCTCACTCTGCGGTGAGATGACAGAGGTAAGGCAGCTGTGGATCATTGCGCCGCCACTCATCAGTCTATCAGTGATGACCTCATGTCACAGCACGTCGAACCGCGAGAGATGAGACGATGATCTCTTCGCGGTCAGTCATTCTCCTAGCAGAGGTTCTTCCTCTTTAATTACTGATAAGACAACAATGTCAATCTGATTGTAGCTCATCAACAAGCATCATGATCAACTTTGTATAAAACATGTTTACAAATTCTCAAGTCTCAATTGGCCAGGATGATGATGAAGATTAGCGATTAGCTTATAAAAAAGGATCATGTGCAGAGCTGGGTGTTTGTGCTCAGGGGTTAGACTGAGCTATGTGCTTGCTGAGCGTATGATATAGTCCACACTGCAGGCAATGCATCATACATGGAAGCACACTGGGACTGTGCTTAGAATGTGCAGTTGTAAAATATATAAAGTCCATAAAAAATCTGCGGAAACAGGATATGTTGGATTTATGGACATATAGTGAAACAAGAATTATATTAACTTGTCTTGCACGCATCGACAGGTGTTTGCAAGAAAAAAAAAAAGAAAAGGAAATGTACATTTAGGAATTGCAGGAAGCCAAAGCAAAGGATAATGACCAAGATAGGTTTGGAAATGGTTTTCCTACTCAACCGCAATCAAAGTCACAGTACACTAAGCCCTCCCCTGGCTTTCCCTTTGGCATCACTCCGAAGTATGCATGAGGTTTTAAACCAGCAGAAATGGCTTGGCAGCAAATTGTGAGAAATGCAATCAAACATACGCAGCAGTTCATGTGGAAAGGTACTCAAGCTTATGTGATAAATCTGAGATTTAAAGGAAAGGGTTCCGTTCTGTAATATGAGATATTTCTCTCCTAAAAATCAAACTCCAATATTGAGTGTTAGCACTAAAGTTGAGCACACCAAAGCTATTAATTGAGTTAAGATGTTTTCTTTGTTAAAAAGAGATATTTTCATGATGAAATCCAGACAGGCAAATATCTTTGCCTGTCTGAGCTGTGCAGAAAAGGGTGCGTGACTCACAGAAGGGCACAAGTTGTAAGTAAGTGCCAGTGACCCATAAGTACAACTCGCGGCCCCCCAATACACCCTTAACCCCGTCCCTCATCCATCACATGGGATGGATCACAGTCTTTAAAGGCTTTAGAGTCATGCATACACCCACTCACTCACACACACTCATACAGATAGGCTTAAGAGTGGGTCAAGACCCCAGTTGACCCTTATTTCTCTAAGTTGTTGCTCAGTCACTCAGAAAGACAGCTCTCTCGCCCTCAGACCGCAGGAGGCAGCACACACACGCTGACTGTTTGCCTGTATAGATTTGTTTAAGTGATAAATCTAACAATATCAATCAGGTGGTA